TATATCTCAAGGGTCTGACTTAAAAAAAGAGCTTGAGTTCCTGAAAAGTAAGTTACTGATACTGAACCTTAGGATTTATTTTTATATTTAGGTCACAAATGTCAGTTAATTATGAACAGAGTCTGCGGTTAAACATCCAGTTGTATGAAATGCTTGTAAAATACTTGACTGTGGACCTACAGCCTAAATGGGTTTGCATTTATTTAAAAAAACACAAATAACAAATTAGTCATAGCTCATACTAGATTTAACATTAGTGCTTTTCTTAAAATCCTAACTCATTTTGCCATATGTGACTTTTGTTAGACAATGTAGAGTATGTTTATACACATTATATTTTGATATAGTAGGCTGGATGTAGGCCCACAGAATCTGCACGTGCAGAAATTCGCAGATTTCCACAGATTTTTAGCCCATCATTGAGTTTATGTATTTACTTGTGTAAAAGTGTGTAAAATTATATTAATTCAGTTTTTAAATAATGTTACTAATATTACTGTAATAATAATAATAATATTAGTAATAATAATAGTAATATTAAAATGTTCATATAATTTATTAAAAATAAAGTTTTTAAAGTAAAACTTTCAGCCTTTTAGTAGATATATTATATGAAAGACTTCCTTTGTTTGCCAAATAAGTGGATCTAATTGGATTTGCATTGTAAACATTAAATAAAAGTTAAAAATTAATTATTTATTTATTTCATGAGAATTTTTTTATGATACTCCCAAAATCATTCTGCATAAATCTGCCGATTGATTTCTTAACATTTTTTTTTTCACAAAATTCTGTGCAGAAATAGCAAAAATGTTTGTCAGATTCTGTCTGGCCCTATGGTACATCATATATTTAGTAGTTATAAGTGTAAGGATTTTTTGTGTGTAATGAAATAAAATGTGTTCCTGTAAATAAGCATTACTTAAGATTTTTTTATTTTTAATACTCGTGCACAAAAATCTAGTATTTTAGCATTTTTTAGGAAAAAAGTAAGTATATAATGCTTTTACTAAAGTTATATTATATTAGTTTAACTGGATAACTTGACTCAAATGCTTGATCTGTGCATTTTGTTAAAAAGTTCAAATGTGGCCAAACATTATAGCATAATTTTAAAATTCCTTTAAAAAATCGCCAATTGAACAAAACCAAATATTGTCTGATAACTTACACAAGTGTTTCAAATGTTTATATAGCATACAGTAATGCTACCCCAGATCAAGACAGCAGACAACAGAAGACAGGCATCTTCCACAAATGCCGTTCGACATGAGACAGAATGCTTTCTGCACTCTAGATACCGGCTGACTATAGACTCGATGAAAGTTTAATGCGCTGAAGTCAAACAAGAGTGTTTGTGTGCGAGTCTTGAGTGGCCAGGGACAGATACCCAGAGGCATTATGAAATATTTGTGACACAGAGAGCGTCACTCGCTTAGACAGCTCCAAGTGTTTGAAATAGCGGCGCAGTTTGTGTGTATTCAGCGTCGAAAAACTGACAAATCAGACAGAAACACACTTCTGCAAACACACCAAATTCATCCATTCATCTTGTCTCTCACACAGACATGCGGTCAAAAACACAAGAGACAGGCGGCTTCCATAGGAAAAAACTTTATTTATCCTTTTAAAACGCTTTCTGAGAGGTGAGACTTGGCTTTAGTGTCATATATCGGGGAACTCTGAGGACACTGTGAAATCTACCAAAACAAAAACAAAACAAAAAAAACGCCATTGCCACAGGCGTGAGCACTGCCAACACATACATCAAAACTGAAATCAATAATACTGAATCTGCAACAAAATCTTAGTAAAAGAAAATTATAACAATAATAATGTAGTTCACTGAATAATAATAATAATAAAAAAATCAGCAACAGCAGGAGGAAACATTGTGCAGCACAAGCTTTCTTTTTTTTTGTTGTGGGAGTCGCGGTTGGCCTAAGGCCTCAACACTGCACTGACCCGCTCTATAAAACAAGTAAATTTTGTGAAAGAGTGGATGAACTGTGTGTGATGGGGATGGATCTAGGCCAGGGAAAAGGTTTTCTCATTAGATTTGTCTCTCTCATAATATTGTGATAATCCTTACAGGGTCAAAAGTCACCACCAATCTGTCTCTTTGCCTGAGGGGGAGTGTGTGCCCGAGAGTGTATGCGTTTGCATGAACGCTTGGGTTTTTAAGTAAGTTCTCCTGACTCGGACAGATGTTATTACCAGATGTCAGAAAGATCCACGCATCATCACAGGTGTCTGACTGCAGCATTAGAGCGGAAGCAAAGCCTCGAGACCAATCCGATAAACAAGGAGGCTGAGTGTTTATTTTCACTCAGACAAACGTCGAAGGAAGTGTATGCCTTACAGCTGTTAAGAGTGCCGCGAACCAAATGTGTAAGCTAAGCTGCAAAAAGCCTGCAGCAAAAAAACAGTCAGTTACTGAATGAGCACGGCAACGGCAGCGCTGATCCAAAACACCACACAAACTATTCACAGCGTTTGCTGTTAAACAACATACAGAGACAGACACCGGTAATGGGGTACACCTTTTTTTATGCACTGCCAAAAATACCATTTTTCCACTAAAATATCTTAATATTTACGAATCACTTCAGTTATATACAGTGCACATATTGCCATTTTGCTTTAAATTAAATTTGTAGGGATGCTTACATTAGGTATTTGTGCTGCAAAACCAATTTACTGCAGTCTTATACCCCCACTGATCCACTTTAAAGAGCTGACTGGTGCAATCTGTGCACCCCTGCATTTTTACGGTTTAAAACAAAGTCAAGAATTTCAAAGTGCTCTTCTAATGTCATTCATAAAGACCTGATCTGCCATAAATGGCTCAGACACACATATAAATATTCAGTTTTGTTGCACAAGCTGTTGCTGGTTTAGTTTTGTTCATCTAGTTTGCTGGTGCTTGCCCTGTATCTAATGGTGTTCGTGTGTGTATTGTGTGCTACAAGATTTACTGGTGTGTGTGTGTGTGTGTGTGTGTTTAGGCATTTCTTGGGTAATAACTCTCTCTCTCTCCTCTTTTCCTCCTCCATGAACCATGTCATGGAATTTCTGACCTGGTTCCATCACAGCATTTGTAAAAAAAATGAAACAAAACAAAAATACCACCATCCCCTTGTGTAATAGGGAGGATAAAGTGTGTGTCAGTGTTTTTGTGTGTGTGTGTGTGTGTGTTGGGACTTACATGTCTTTTTGCTGCTTTAGGCTGACCTTTAAAAACCCATTCTACAGGGGCTTCTAAGTCTCCTTCATCAAAAACCAACCGAAACAAAATTCGAATGAACAAAAAAAAAAAAAACATGAAACAGGAAACATTTTAATTACAAAACGTCTTTTTCCAAAAAAGACTATTTACAAAAGCTTTCGCATTTTCAAAAATCCTAATTATATTTTCATTAACAGGGTCTCTAATAAAATGGAATTTTATATTCAACATTTTTTCCCAACATACATTATTTACACAATCTCGGGCCTTAGAAACTAAATTAAGAGGAAACGACAACAGAAAACAATAACAATAAACCTAAATGAAATCTTATTTTAAAATTCTATTTCGCGAGAAAGCGACAGAGAAGGCTTCCTCTGATTGGCTGCGCTGGAGGCCAGATGCAAATGCTGCTAATTTGAAATTAGCATAGGCGTAAACACACCTGGCGCCACTCCTGACTGTTTATCATTTCGTGTGCAGTCCATATAAAAATAGACCTAGCACTAGATATTCCAGGATGATATGGAGAACATGTTTTGATTCTCTGATTTGTGCATGATTTTTTCCTTATCTGTGTTTGTATGCAAACACAGATGATTAATGTGCACATCTGAGAAGAAGCAGAGGTGAAGGCAAAATGTCACGCGTTCTGTACTGTATGATGATGAATTTTTGGCTTCTCAGTGGGACTCTACATACACACGTTCATACTGTTACGACTCCATGTCTACGTCCAAACAGAGCAACGTGAATTACACAAAAAAGACATGTTAGTGGACTAAAGTATGCAAAGATATGCGTTTTGTGACTGAAAAGAGGTCACAGGCTCATGGTGTAGAGGCAAATCCCTAAAGATGATTTTAACCTACAAACCTTTGGGAGACAGAATATGAAAAAGAATGATGATAATAATAATGTCAAAATACAAACATTATTCAGCACTTCACACACCACTGACAACAAATAGCAAGTATCTACTTGTGTTGGGCTGAGAGGAGAGAGAATTTGAACTGAAACCATAGTCGAGTGAACAAAACACAGACTGGGAGTTCTGGAAGGTCTGGCACTGGTGTTTACATATTATATTCCGTCTTTCACTCACTCGCTTTTCCACCGAGAGGCTGTCTGTTACTGACCCGTGAACACCGAAGTGTGTGAGTGCGAGTGTGTTTGTTCAATTGCCTCTACAGCATGTAAAATGAATGAGTGTCTGGAGAGACGCAGGGAAATGAGATGAGAGGACATATATTGAGTGTGTGAAGATGAGAGCGGCATTCGTAACAGTGTTTAAGACATTATTTCTTTGAGCGAGACACTGTGAAAGCTGCAAGATTCAGAGCGATACTGATAAAAACAAAACACTGTGATGGATTGAGAAATGAAAGAAAACGAAGCGAAAAAGTACAAAAAAACACACAATTGAGAGCTTCCTGCTTTGTGATGTCACTCTAGCATCCCTCTGTGATTGGTTGTCGGCTGATCTTCAGCGGTGAAGTCCGTGCCTGAGTGCCACGCAATTTTGGGGAAGGTTTTCTGCCGTTTCACACGCATCGAGAGCGACCGGCACACACACATACACACAGTGTAGTGTTCGGAAAGCGGACGGAGGGAAGGGAAATCCGAGAGGAATCATCCACGGAGTCTTTTGCGATCCTCCTTTCCACTTGTCCCTCTCCATCCTCTCGCAGACGGGGTTAGGCAATGAAAAAAGATTCAGGAGACCTTACAAAAAACGAGTTCTTATTGCGCTTGCTTGGCTCTCATTCGCTCAGACTTTGTAGTAGATATTGGCAGGGCTCTGCGGCGGCATTTCCTGCACTATGTAGACGGGGTGTCCATAGTCTCCGCTAACTTTTTCATAGTGGGGACAGTAGTTATTCTCTGTTGTCCGCAGGGGGATGATGATGTCACTTGGCTCTGAGCCGGCCTGGGCGGCTCCTTTGGGCGTGGCCAGAGTGCTGAGTGACAGGGCAGTCCCGCCCCTGGGTTGCGAGTGCTTCCGGGTTCTCTTGCGAAGCTTGAGGAGCAAGACGATGAGGATGATTATGATTAGGAGGAAGATCACACAGCCCGCTCCGATGGCAGCGAAGAGAGCTGGTTTAGAGCCGAATATTCCTTCCACAGAACCGGGACTGTTGTTCTGGTTTCTTGTGTCTGAAAGAAAAAGGGTAGGCATTATAAGGTGGCACACACTCGTTTTTCTCTTTCAGTGTGAATTATCATTAAGAACGACGTTAGTGCTCTCGTTAACAGTGTTTAGTGTTAGCCTCGGTTGTCTGAGGTAAAGATAATCTGCAATGGTTGTAGAAAAAAAAGCCTTAGTGTTTGTTAGCATTGGCACTGAGCTACCATTAAAGTAAATAAAACTGTTGCTGTGTGTATTGTTGCGCTGCCAGCTGAAATGGCTACCGATGACTCCTGCATTACGAATACACAGTTTTCTGCCTGACAATAAAATCCATGTTGTCAAGTGTATTTAACAACAGTATGAAGCTAAACAACACACACCCTGATTGAAATAAGCCTTTCAAATTATAGTTCAGAACAACACTCAATTATTATGAATGTATTAAAAACTTGTTCTGCTAAATATTTTCTTTGTGGAAATAGATTTTAAGTGAAGTTTTATAAACTCATTTCAGGGGGATCACGTGTCATGATTGACCATGGCTGGTCTCGCATCAACAATTAACGATAAACCAATCAGACGAATTCAAGGCTACATAAATAGCCATTTTCCTTACTTCTCCTATCTTCGATTTTGAAAAGTCCCCCCCGTCCACCCTTTTTATCCCTCCTATACTAGGGGAGCTCTCGAGACCTACCTGATCTTGGACCCCCTGCTATACTAAATAACCAGGAGGGAGCCCTGGGCTCAAAGATCTCCAAGCTCAGGGCTCTCTCCCGGGACAGAATGCCAAACCTGCAATCAGCAGTGTTGGGGAAAGTAACTTTAGAAAGTAGTGCACTACAGTATTGAGTCAACTAATTGTGTTGGTTACTTTGTATGGAAAGTAATGCAATATATCACTTTTGAGTTACTATTACATTTGCTTTACTTTTCCTTTTCTGGCTAAGGTCTGATCTCTTTCAGAACTTGGTGTTTTCTTCACCTTTTTATAGAGAATCTCTGCAATTAACAACAAACTATATAGCCTACAATAACTTATTATTAACCTCTTTAAAAAATGTAGGATAAAATTATATTATTAGAACTTTCAGAGGCCAGAGCTCTACATGCTGTATATTCAGATTAATGAAAGCATGTAATGCAATGTGTTTGCTACTTTTGAATGTTTTGTGTTATTAGTTAAGTAAATTCACTGTCCATTAAGATAAAGAATGCAATAAAGCCTAAGAGTACTAACATGAAACAGTTTATTATAGGGTAGATGCTAAAGGTAACTTCAATACCTCTTTAATACTTTTTAAAGACCTTCTCAGAATATTTGAAGACATCATCACCACTTCAAGTTCTAATCAGTGTCAAACCTTTAACTTAATAAACAGTTGTTAATAAACAGTTGTAGTTACATAAATCAATGGAGCACAACCACTCAGACAAGCTTGGAAAAAAACAAAGAAGTGAAAGAATAAATTGTGGTTGTTTTCAGCGACAGGCTTCAGCCAATGTTTAAATTTGTCTTTCTCCAACCAAGAATACGCAAACTTACATTTTCCCATTTTGATGTCTGTTTCTCTCTATGGTTTTGCTACATGTGGAGAGCGTCACATCACCTTCCTGCGTTTGTCGCAGAGGAGCTTGGCCGGACGCGCCCCAGCCCAAACCAATCTTGTGGATCAAGCACGCTGTTGTTAATATTAGAAGGAAAATAAATATATTTATGCTTTTTTGGAGTCAGACACTTTGGACAACTCTTGAACAAAATTTAAGACGCGATTAAGTTGCTTATACAGTAACACTAGACGCTTGGCAGCATCTCTTCAACAATAAAAGCAATAACCATATTTTAAGTTTAGTTGAATTAATAGTTTTACCTGGAGAACATGAACTGATGTCAATCATTTGTTGTTTAGCTGCAAGTGGGCTGCGGGGTGTAGTGTTTCGCATCCAGTTTTGTTTGTTTTCTTTGATGTCATGTTTCTTACAGTTTACTTAAAGAGTTTTACTTACGCATAATCTAAACTTAACAACAATCCATTTCTTTTCTTCGCCGAGTTCAAAATAACAGGAATCTATCGCAAAAATGTAAGTATCCAGCCTGCCATTATTTCTAACTGACTGTAGTGCTGACGGGTGATTCGCAAATAAATCGTTTGTTTTAACCAGATCTGCTAAGTGAACAGGTCGAACCAGTTCATTAAATTGAGGGGAGTCGCCGTGAAATTATTTGCATCTTTAGTAAGTACTAACATACAAGACACCCCCTCTGACTCGAAATAAACCTCTATCCTGAGTTATTCAGTTACTAGAACAGTACACTGACTGATTTGCTGTGAAAAAAGAGACCGGATGATGATGATGAGTGCGAGACGACTGTCTGTCACAGTTTGCTCTGATTCAGCCTGACTAAGGTCATTTTTATTCCGCAATATATTTTGTAAAAGCCAATTAAGCAAAGTAAAAAGTAACTTGCGTTACATTTTTTCAAGTAACTCAAATAATATTACTTATTTTTTAAATTAATGCGTTAAATTACTCAGTACTTTGTAAAAGAAGTATTATTGCATAATGAGCAATATTTATAATGCGTTACCCCCAACACTAGCAATCAGTATCAAGCTTTAGCTAAGTGTGAAAACTTGAATTAAGGGATTGTACAATACGAGAAGCCTTATGAAATTTAACCATGGTTTTACTACAAATAAATCATTAACCTCTTAACAAAAAACATGGTCATTACACTTTGATTTGGTTTTATGCTATAATAAAAGGAATGAATTTCCATTTCATACCAACATCTTATGCAAGTATGTCTGAATGATACCAGGTGATCCCGAACCAAGCATAATTACACACATCAGTCAGCTGGTCATTCACATAACCCACCAGCTAGCCGATTTTGAGAAGATGTAATAGCGGTTCATGTCTTGAGTGTAATGCGTCCTCTGAGAGGATGAATCTGACCTCAGGAATCTTAAGCGCTGTGATCACTGCAGAGATACAGTTTGAGTCCTCTGTTCTTTCTTAATGATTCTGTCTCCATGTTTCTCTCTTTCTTTCTCTCCTAATGAAGTTTAGACCTCCCGTAGGTTAATGGCTGCTAGGACGTGATAAAGACATGCTACATTAACTCCTGTCTCTCTCTCTCTCTAACACACACGCGGCTGCCTGAGGGAGGCAGTAGCTCTGCATTGCTGCAGTTCATCTGTTGGGTTTCCCAGTGACATTTACTGTGGCAGATCTCAGATCAGTTTGTCCTCTGAACATCCCATGTCAGTAATAGGAAAACACCATCATGATCCCAAACCAGCTGGCGTAAACACAGGTGATTTGTGTTTCCTCACCTTTGCCGGGCATTTTGGATCCATTCCCGTCCACTTCATTCTCTCTGCCTCGTTCAGTCTTGCGAGAAGGGCTGGTTGTGGGGTCCTTGATCTCATTGTCATACGGCCGGTCTGGGAGGTCTGGTAAATCTGGATCTGGTGCATTTGGATCTAAAACATACGATCACATACATAACCAATTAGGAACGAGAACATTCAAGGAAATCAGTTTCAGTACAGCATATGCATTTGTTTACATTCGGGTGTCAGGGTCCTGCTCATGAGATGGCTTTTATGACTTAAACTATGTACGCTCTGTGTGTGAATGTGAAGTTATGAGGTAATGCTAACTTGGATAATGTTTAACTGTAATCTAATTGGTGGTTAGTGAGTCAGTTGACTTAATCGTGCACCAAATGAGGCTTAAATGACTGTACCTTTGGACATGCTGAAGATAAAGAAGGTGTGTGTGTGTGTGTGTGTGACTCACCTTGGCCCACTTTCATGATGATCTTCATGGATCTCGTACTACAAACCCCACCTTCTCTGTTTTCCAAGCCTTCCTGTGTTCCATTAGACGTTGCTGAAGAGAGAGGGGAAAAAACAGAGGGGTTTTGTGATTGTCAGGGCGAATTAGGTTTAGATTTATACCACTTTTGATTGGACTTCTTGCTGCAAACCAAAGCAGGAAAAGGAAACCCTAATTTACCTCTATAAATCAGACAAGCAAACACACGTATACACACTCGCACACAGTCCTTTGGCAAAAGAAATGCTCATTCTGCCCTTAAATCACACATTGCAACCTAATATTACCTTAGAAACATCCAAAAACAAACTAACGTTTGTGTGTGTGTCTCAGAATATGGACAAGATGAAAAAAAGCTCCAGTGTATTCTCCTATTACTTGTCCCTATGATAGTAATCTGATCCCATGGGAATGCACAAACACACACACACACACACACACACACACAGCAATGCAGTAAGAAAAGCCATGTGTATGAATTTTCTCCTTCTCTTGCGTAGGCCCAAAAGCCTCAACATTTCCTTCAGAATGATCCCAGTGAGTTTGAGTGATGGGAGCCATAGACAGGCCTAAAATATGCCATGGTGTATTTAGAGCCATGTAGCATCTCTGCTATGTGTTTGAGAGAGAGATAAGCGTGAGAAAGTGAGTGCGCTCTGGCTGGGACACACACACATATATACAAAATGCACCAACACACGCTCCCATTATGTAGTTAAATAAACCGATATTGTCACAGCGGGTGATCCACCTTCATTCAATTTAACCCCCAATTACACCCGCACAAGCTCGCGCACGTACGTGCATACACATTATTAGCTTCCATTAGTTTGTGCTCATTAAGAGGTGAAAGTGAGAAGTGCTGAGAGTGCATGTGTGTATGTGTAAGCACTAATGAGCAACTATAGACCAGGTAAGATAAGGAAAAATGCTTATTCACTAAAACACACTTTCCAGCTATTGCACAGGGTGCGGTGATTCCTCACTGGATTTGACACACTAAAATGAGGAAAGTTCTTCCTAAAGTGTCAAATGTTACTATAGTTCCGAACTAATCAACTAATTGTTTTAATTAGGAAATGTTACATGCTTTCTTATTCATTTAAATCAAGGCATTCTGTAGTAATATTGTTAGTGGTGTTTCCACTAAAAACAGAGTGAACTATGAATAATTGAGTGTTTACATAGACACCAATTATTTGATTTTAATATGATTAAGACATACTCTGAATAAGAGTCTATTATGTAAAAAGTGATTTTTGATTCATTTAATCCGACTAAAATCATAATCAAACTAAACAGAAATGAAATCAAGACATGTGCAGTATGCCGATTTTAGTTTCATTATTGAAGTGCAGTACAAACATGTAAACACCGCAATCAAACTATTATCGTCATGTAGGATTTTCACTGAATTTTGCGACAGGATATACCACACACACACGGCTGTTTGACACTATTCTCAGCACCTACCGAGTCAGTGAAGGACCACAGACACCTGCATCGTGAAATACCAAGTTTTTTTTTCCCCTCATATGGCATGCTGTATCAAATTCCATTAAAACAACTCTTTCCAGCAGTTCATACTCGCATCCAACATCTGGTTTGTGTCTAGCGGCAGTGCATGAAATGTTCCTGAATGAAAGTGAAAGTGCCAAACTACAGTTAATGTCGACAAATTAAAAAAGAAATACCCGAAATGACATGAATCTCAGGAGGAATTGTGAATATGGTGGTGTCGGAAACGTAGTCATTTTCATTTACTTGTTCAGCTAAGCTTTCTTTTCTTTCTTTGCAATTACATGAAACTAAAGTTAATCAAATTAGTTAAATTATGTCTCCAGAGCACGTATAAAATAGGCAAAAATTATTTAAAAACAAACACAAATGTTACATTTAAAAAGGCTGCTATTTTCAACAGTCAAAATGACATTGAAACAAGGGTTGGGTGTTTGGACCGATTTAGCATCACACAATGTCTAATGTGAAACATCGTGATGGACGATGTCATCGTCATTGTAGGTGGCGGGGAATTAATTATTTATGATTAAGTAATTCATAACAAAATAATTATTTGTAGCCTACCGTTTCAATTACCTGACTCGCATGGTCTTTGTTTTACTCATAACCCAATCATAAGTAAATAAAGATAAGATAAATAAATGCAAGGTAATGATTGACGACCTGTCAATCATTTTTTCTGCTGGACTCTGGCATGAATAGGCAGTGATCTGTGTCATAGTAATGGCATCGACAAACTTGGTTGGTTAAAAAAGGTGCCCAACCAAGCGAAAGATTGAAGTAGTGTACTGACGCTGTGACATGTTACATGATAGATTCAAAAGACCGAAAAGTCATTAGATTCAAACAAGATTAATTAAATATCACGTTGAACAACTATAGTGAGACACGATCCAGTGGTACATCCTTGATAAACTGTAAACTTTCCAACGTGCTCTGCTCTCTGGAGTTTTCTGCTCAAAGCACCTGCTGACAGTCTAGAGCTTAAACGCCAATAAATGCCACCAAAAATGTTGTTTTGAAACTAAGACATACTAGTGTAAACGAGGCCTAAGAGTGTGTTTTTCACAAGCGGGTTGCTGCTGCGATGGGGGCGGGGCAGAGGATCACGATACCGGCTCAGCATTATGATTTCTATTGGCAATCAGCGATAGAAATCATAATCGAATCAACCCTAATCGAAGTGAGGTGTTTATAAATAAATGACTCTCACGAACAGTTTTTTTTATGAATCGGTCTTCAAAATAAATTTAAGGAATAGTTAATAAAGTTAAGTCAGCATTTAAGGTGTTCATACAACGTTCATGCATCGACTTCCATATACCCAACGCAATGTGAGAGAGCCCAAATGCAAACTTGTGAGAGGAAATTGTTTACTTTTCTTGGTGAACTCTAACCTGTATGTCATGTGTGACCAACATAAGACCTTGTGGCCTTGTAGCAGAATTAAAAGCGTAACTTTAATGAAGAAATTGAACAATTGTAAACCTTAAGAATCTGGAAATTTAAAAGTGGTCTCTTAATATTCATCTATAGCTGTATAGACATAGACACAGGGCCGGCGCGTACATAGAGGCGACCTAGGCGGCCGCCTAGGGTGGCAGTATAGAGAGGGCGGCGTCCGAAGCAAGAAGGTCGCTGGTTCGAGTAATGGCTGAGCCAGTTGGCATTTTTATGTGGAGTTTGCATGTTCTCTTCGTGTTTGCGTGGGTTTCCTTCGGGTGCTCCGGCTTCCCCCACAGTTCAAAGACCTGCGCTATAGGTGAATTGGGTAAACAAAAATTTGTGTTGGTGTATGAGTGAATGTGTGGGTGTTTCCCAGTTCTGGGTTGCAGCTAGAAGGGCATTCGCTGTGTAAAACATATGCTGGAATAGTTGGTGGTTAATTCCGCTTTGGCGACCCCTGATAAATAAGGGACTAAGCTGAAGGAAAAATAATGAGGAAAAGTATAGAAACAATGTGGCACTAATTATACGGAGCAAACACACTGTATAAATCACTTAAATGACAGCGTTCATACAAATCTGTAATTTGCTTCCAGATAATTTATTTCCCTTTCTGTTATTATTATTATTTTTATGTAATTTTAGCCATGAAAATACAGATTTTCTTTTCCATTTCAACATGACCATCACTTCAACAAGACCAGCGCCTGTTCTTTTAGTCTAGTTATCATCCCGTTTGACCATATTGGCTTTCTATAACTTTCTAGCGTCAGTATGGATCGGAGCTCAGAAAGAGCCTCCAGTGAGGGAGAAAGGCCAGGGCACTATGCTTGTGAATGGCCCTTTGTGGGCGTGTATGGGGGAGGGGTGATGTGTGTGGTTGCTAGGAGCTGCTATGATGTCATGCAGATTGAGATGTATGGCAGCAGGCAAAGTGCCAGTCTCCTTACGGTAGCACCATGCCAACCTGTCACCGTGCCAACCAACGAATAACATCACACGGTGCTGCTCTACACACACACACAACTCACTCACTCCAGGCTAAAACACAACACACATTCCAGACTGGCAGGGTAATCCCACCCTGTGTACTGTTCGCAATGGGATGGATTTGCTATGAAGCATTTTTGTGGCCACATTCTGTTGTCACTACATCACTGCTGGATTTTAACTGGTCAGAACATTTTGGTCTTAATAGTTTCCTGCCTCTGTGTTCAAAAAAAAAAGAAGAAGAAATTGCTGCATGGATGGAATTAGACATTTCATTTTTAGTCAGGCTCGTGTCGAGAGAACAAAGCAGGTATTTTTAAATAAAGAATATACCATAAAACACAAGCGCGCAAATCCCCAATGACCACGCTGGGAGATTAACGTGATTTAGATTTAACACAAGGTGTAAACACACATTAAAAATGTGAAGGGGCTGGGGATTTACCATCTGTCTCTAAGTGTGTGTTTGTGTGTGTGTGTGTGTGTGTGTGTGTGTGAGCGAGGGAGAGAGAGACAAAGAATGAAATATTCAGTCTTGTCACAATAAATATAGTGTTGCCCCAGTTAGTATCTCTTATTGACTGACGTATAGTGTGGGTGTGCTGTGTGTGTGTTTGTTTGCAGATTTCTGCTCATTCTTCTGCCACCACAGAGGATCTCTTGAGTATATAAAAACAATATTAATACAATTTTTGGGTACTGTTTCCTTATTTCCTTGTTTTGCAATGAATTATGCACCAATGTATCCAAAAGAGTTATTTACTGCCTGATTTTAGGTAATTTTTGTCATTTATTTTGAGTTTTTTTGTGTCTACGGCTATTTAATGGTAATAAATAATACTGTACAAATTAAAAGTTTCACAAGTTATACATTGAAAGGGATGGATAAGACCAATATCAGGACATAACCAAACATACAGAAAGAGACATGAAAAAACAACAACAACAATAATGCTTGCAATAATAAGGAAGAAACTCTATAAGAAGGAAGTTTTATAACTTATAAATAATTGCTAATATGTTGTTCCATTGTTATGAGAATTCCTCTTCAATATTAACAGCAATAATAATAAAAAATAATAATAGTAATTAATGCT